CGTCGCAGCCCCAGGAGCGGTGTCAGGCGCGGAGGGACATCCGCGACTCCTGTGTCCGCCTGCCACGTGCCCATGTAGCGCAGCCCTTCCCCAAAGCGGCGGCGTCTCTGGGCACAGTGGTGTGTGTTTTGCCTCTTATGCGTAGGCCAGCAGCTGGGTAGACAGGGGCTGAGGCTATTCAGTCCTCTGCGCCCATCTTGCTGTAAAACACAACTGTCCGGACCCCGGGGGAGGAGAGGTGGCGAGAGTACGGGGCTGTGAGACGGAGGATTTTAACTAAGGCCTTTAAGCAAAGAGGTGATACAAGTAAGTGGAGTAGAAATGTTACAGAATTAACTGATAATAGAGGAAAGAGATTTACTTTTCTTTGAAGTAGCATACATCCCGCATGCATGCTGTAAACACACACCCGGCAGCACTTTTTCTGGGAAACAAGTGGCAAGACTTATTAGAAACCAAAGCCTTGCAAAGTAGGTCTGTTCCCCCGGACAAGCTGCGGGAAGCCAAGGAGCTGTTTCCGAGGTACTGCGTTGTGATGAGCTCAGTTCGTATCGTGTCATCTCCCGGGGTGTCATTGCAGAAGTAGTTTGAATTTAGCTTAACTCGGCTCCTTCTGAGGTCAGTAGTTAAACCCCTACTGCTTTGCTAGAACTGTAGCCCAAAAGGTGCACTGGAAACACCAGGCTCCAAACGATAAGGACAGTTAAAAGTTTTATATGACCGTTAGACACGTGGAGTCAATGGGCACAGTGAGTAGGTCTGCTCGAAACGGTACCGTCACACAGAGCGCTTCGAATGCTCTGCTGTGGATGCTGGAAGCACTGGCGTCAGGTTTCAGTGTCAGGGATGCTCCATGGCCACAAAGTAAAAGTCTGAGGCCATCACAAAAGAGTTGGACCCCAGCTGGTGAACATCCCTGACAGTGGGGGGAATCCAGAGGTGAGCAGACCTGTGAACCCTGCTGTAGTGTAAAGGGGTGTATGCCCCAGAAGGAAATATTTACAGTGATACAAGGGATGTTACTGAGGAGAAATGAAGTGAAATGGTTTAGGGGTGTGTGCGCTGAAATAAGGAGAAAACATCTGTAAGGGCATTAGCCTAAGGGAAACGGTGGGACCCTTCTCTTGGAAAATGCAGAGCTAGTCCAAAGCCCTTGAAGTCTGCTGGAAGGACTAACCCTGCTCTGGCCAGGAGGACCCTGGTCCTGGCCAGGAGGACGGGACCAGCTGGTCTTTTACCACCTCTGATTTCTCTTGAGCTGCCAAAACCTGACTTGCAGATGCACTTCCCTGTGAGATCTTACACATGGATTCTCCTCAGAGCACATCCCACATGCGGCTTACCTGCTGCTGCCGCTGAACCACTTCGGCATTTTACAATACCTGTCCTCTCTCTTTCTTCCTTTGGCAGGAAAGAAAAACTGCCGCTTTTTAAATGCACTACCCAGCGGGGCCAAGGGAGCAGCCATGTTGGCAGGAAGCCAGAGAAGAGGAGCCAGACAAATCTCAAGGAGCCGTCTCTCTCCACATGATGCTAGGAGAGGAGGGCTGGTCTGCGGGGCTGAGGCGAAGGAGCACGTCTGGGTTCTGGAACTGATAAGGTTTCTCTTTTTTCCCAGACAAGTATTTCTAAGGTAACAAATAGGCCAAGGGCGAAAGAGGGAGAGGGAAATTAGCTAGAAATTTTACTATTGATTCTTTTTTATTTATAGATGGTAAATCAATTTCAGGCCCTTTTTTTTTTTTTTTTTTGGCTCATCTCTGGGAAAAAGAGCAACCCAATGGATTTACAGAAATCATTTGCTGTGGCTGAAAAGCTATTTGTTAAAACGAGAAAGCCTCGCCTTCCTTCACCAGCCCCTCTCTCTCTTTAAAGGGGTAATCCATACGGTGAGCCAACGAGGGACTCCTTGCTCCCCTGCTGCACCATGTGTTGTCTCTCCTTTCAGTGTCAGGCTCAGAAGCTTTTATGCCAATTGCATGTGCTAGTCCAGTTAGCTTGCATTAAGAGAGCCTGATAAATAGCTTGTGGGAGTTAGGCAGGTGGTCCTTAGCGTGCTGTTTATCATCCACTGCATGGTTAGTTTTTTGCTCTTCTATCAAATCATTTGAGGAACGAGGTCATACAAGGAATGTTACTGATGTCACCTGTCGTGCTGCAGGCATGAAACTCACACCAAGACCTGTCCAACAGGCAGAAACCTTGGTCCTCTGGCAACGGCTGGCTGGGGCCCAACAGATTTACCACTGAGGCAACGTGGGCTGGGGTAACACCAAAAGGGATGAACCAAAAGTATCATGCTACTACTGCAAGAAAGCCCAGGTAAAGCCTTGCAGCCTTCTCATTAGATGGCCAGCACATGAAACGTCTGCTCAAAGCCACTGTCACAAGGCATCTCCCGGTCTTGTGTGATTAATAGGAAATACCTTCCAGTGATGTGGATTTGATGCTGTAGGCCAGTGGTTCTCAAACTGGAAAGCGAAAGAGGGTGACCCTGAGGGAGAGTGGGAGAGTCTCCCAGGCAATGGGAAGGGAGAAGGCACTTAAAAGTGCCCCAGGCCCATCAGAAAACTCTGGAAGCAATTTCTCTTGACTTTCTTGTAGTATGAGTTGAGCTGCAGCAGTGGCTTGGAGGAGAGATGTGCTAAGCCCCACTGGATGGAGAGGGAAAAGATGAACCAGATTGGGGGTGAAGAGAGATGTGTGAAATAAGACTGGATTGGCATCTCTTAGTGTGGGGTGGCCCTGAAGGCATAGTAGCCCCTGACACTTATTTCACTAGTCAGAAAGCAGGGTTGGTTGCTCTTCTGCTCTTTTCCAGGACTTGAGCCCTATGATCTAGGAGCAGGACAAAATTCAGCTGGGTTCTCAAGCTGGGCTGTATGTGAGAAGAATGTATCCTGGGGAGAAATTAGGAGATATGAGAAGAATTGAGAATTACAGGCTAAAATGGACCGTCCAGGCAACTTAAATTTATCATCCTGTGTGGGAATGCTCACAGGTTCTCCAGCAGTGGAGAACCGCTAAATCTGGGCATGACCAACACTGAACCGAGGTTTGAAGAACTGAAAGCAGCTCAGGTTTCATTTATGCATCCAGGAATCTAACAGACCCTTATATGTTCTCATCTGTCTTTGAATACCTTTGGCTCATTCTCACCATATCTGTGTCACAATGGATGGAAGAGAGCTCTGCATAAGTTCCTTTGGGCTCTTTTCAATACTGGAGAAACACAAAGCAAGCGGAGTCAAGGATAAGGTATGTGTTCTGTGTGACAGGGCTACAGAAGTCTGTGGAAGGCCCTGAGACAATACCCAGGCAGACCTCTCAGGAGCTACTCAGTTTCCATCCAGTTAGCATTTCTTCAAGCAGAACGAATGGGCAGCCGCAAGTCAGGGCCTAAATTTGGCCTTGCATGCCTCCAAGAAAGGACCAGCTGCTAAGGATCTGACAGAATTTGAGCTGGCTGCATCCATGTGTTAGCCAGCTATTAGCTAAGCTTTCAGTAGTTAGTTAGTTTCTCTCTAATGGGAGGGGGGGGGGGAACTTGATTGAAAAAAGGAAAAGCTGTCCCACTTGAAGGAGAGTGGTTTAAAACACCTTAGCAAACCTGACGTTGCCAGAATTTCAAGGTGAGGGGGTTAAACTGTGTGTGTTTTTATGGAAAATGAAATGCCTTAATACGATGAATTCCAAGGCATCTAAAAGACACAGTACTGGCTTTCTGTCTCCAAAAGCAGAGGAATGAATAGCAGAGACAGTGTGATAATTAAAATGACCTCTTGGAGATATGGATTAGAAGGTATGCAGAAGGGGGATAAATTCTCTTTTGAATTAATCTAGTGTTAATTTATGACTATCACTGGGTTTTATAGGGTTTTAGCAGAAGACTTGCAAAGTTGTTTTACTGGGAGAAATTTTTTTGCATATTCATTGAAAAAAACACTTGCGGAATTCTTTATTTATTTCTGAATGACTTAATATATACATACACATATGGAGAGAGAATTTCAGTTATTTGCTTAGCCCCTAGGGGCTTAGCAGCTAAACTCTAGAAACCATGAATAAAGTGATAAAAGTAGCTGCGTGTTGTCTCATTTTCTTTCCTTCCTCCTAACAAGCTCCCAAAGTCACTTTGTAAACCGAGAAGCGGACAAGTGGGTTCTGGGAAGCCCTTGTGTTGTCCTGCTAACAGATATCAGAGGTTCCCTGTGTCTGGCTCATAGAGTCAGCCTTTCAGTTTAGATGTAATAACTGGATCTTCCTGGAAATCACTGTCTCTGCTTCCTATCTGTCTCCTGCCACCCGCATTCTGCCCCTCAGCCTCCATTTTCGAAGTCTTAGTATGGACCTTATGTGACTGAAGTTAGATTCCTCATGTCTGCAAGAGATGCTTCCTTTTGCTTCCTTCCTGCTCAGATATCCCAAGCTTTTAGTAGGACAGAGAGGACAGCTTGTAGAGTTACCCATATGGGAAATTATGACATCCCATTTGTCAGCTCCCATGTTGGTAACCTTCTTCCCATCCTCTCCACCTGTCTAGCAAACCCCTAACTTCCAAACATAAGGATATCTGCCAAGAGCACCTGCCTTGCTCATCAGCTGGGCAGCATGCCTGTACTGGAGCCTGCACTCCCCATCCTCATTCCAGCATGTGATGTCAAACTCTTTGCTGTTGCCTTCCATTTCCTTCCTGACTCCATTTGTCTCCTGCACCTTCTACTGCACTAACAGCCACAGCTGCTCCTACCCATTTTTCATCTTTCCACCTCAAGATCCCTGTCATGTCTCCTCTGAACACCAAAGACAGAGTGAATCTGTAGTATTGTCTCTGGAGACTCACCTCTCCTTTCGTGATTCAACGATAAACCGCGTGTCCTGAAAGCTTTCCCAGAGTGGCTGGGGATGGGAGCGTGAGCCTCTCACTGCCACCTCTCAGCTAGCTGATGTGAAGAAGGCTCAACATTGCCTCCATCATTTTACAAATGCTTGGGGAGACTGTCATGGGAGCTGAAAATACAAGGCCTTTTGGTCCAAGTCTCTGCTTCATTTTCCTCTATCTGAGCAGAAAGATCCTGCTTCAAAGCCTACTTCTGGGCTGTCAGCTGCTATGGTTTGAGTCTCTTCTTCTGGGATAAGTTGATCTGTGTCTCAGACATAAGCAATGCAAATTGTATGCTCGAGGAGTAATTCTTTCCTAACTCCTCACTTCCTGGTGTCAGGTCCACAGGTAAGGTGATACTGTGAATTTTGAAAGATTCAGAAGCCAATATGGGGCCCAGAACTGGGCACTTGACAGAAATTTATTACTCTTAAGAACAAATGCATGTGTGTGTTTGAGCACAAGTGGAGGGCTTTTCTTGTGGGGAGACTGGAGCCACATTGCATTGCCCTGCCTGTTTCCACTCTATGCTTGGGGAGTTGGAGGGCCCTCCCTTGGAGAAGTAACAATGAATTTACCTCGCTTCTCACAAGAGCTGAGTCATGAATACTAAAATGCTGAAATTAACTTGTTTTCTGTGCATTCTGTTCTCCTGACAAGAAAATCCTGCTACAAACCCCCACACAGGCAGGCTAACTGTGTAGAATTGGACCCTTGCTGTGAGGGGATTATATATTCTGATTGGGGCTGCATTTGCAATTATTTTCTCTGCCACACCAAAGACCTTTACTGCAGAGCTGCAAACCAGTTATAGGAACATGAAATGCTTTGACTTCTTCACTAGGGAAACATTAATCCAATCACAGGTTATGTCCATTACAGACTATGGCAATATTGTATACAGGAATTCCCTGGAGAAGGTTCTACAAAAATTGGAATCTCTCTATAACCATGTTATGAGATTTACTGGTGTGGATAAAATGGGCAGAGTTAAAATTACCAGGCTGGCTATCTCTAAAAGACAGGTGAAGTCTGCTGGCTATCATTGCTTCATAATATTACAAATGGAAAAGCCCTGAAGTAATTGAATAACACATCTGCTGAAAAAACCTTGTGAACTGCTATAACCTAAAGATAGACTGCAAGGAAACAATGTATATACAGCACCAGGTTAAAAGGAAAAAAGATGCTTTCCTTACCTGGTGAAGGAAGATATCGCAAATGTACATATAGTTTCTCTCTTTGCCTCCTAAATTCTATGTTTGTGCTTTACATATATATATGTGTGTGTGTGTCTGTCTGTCTATCTCTTTATCTCTTTTCATATAAAGTAAGTTAAACCAGTTTTTTCAGCAGCCCAGACATGGCGTTGGGTAATAATGATCCATAAGCAGAGCTCCCTGTTTCTTTTCGTACTGAGAGTTGCTAAAAACATTTGACGTGCCTGCAAAGGATCTGTTTTTTTATCCCCTTGAAGTCTCTCTGTCCTTGCACATAAAACATTTCAAAGCACTCTGCAATCATTGATTAAGGTTTTGCCTGTGCTCTAGTATTAGTATTCAGTGGGCTTACCATGGTTTAACAGTAAAGAGCAAGTTTACTGACTGGGTCCCTGCAAGTCCAGGGCTACGAGATGTGTCCTGATGCCACTGCACCAGGGCCAGGTCCAGTCTGTCCATGCTCTGCAGCATCCCCGTGAAGTAAGTGCACCGTAGGGGCACCGCATGTGGGGGATGATGGCCAGCAGCTTCCTGACTCCTGCAGGACCTCTGTGTGACTGCCATTGGGGCAACGTTAGGTATGGAAGAGCTGGGCTTCCTGAAAGCCAACAATTCTAGTCCCAGCAGAGGTGACAAACTGCCTCATCTGATCCCTGGGGGTAAGTGCACTACGGGCTGGATGTTCATGGGTGTGAGAGGAGAGGGAAGATTTGAGCTCACAGGAGACACAATATGGCTGTTTGTGGTTGTGCTGGGGCATGGAGGAGCCTGTCTCATTACTCATGTTCGTCCCCATCTGGTAGTCCTGAGCAGCAATCCAAGGGCAGCTGAGGCAGACTGCATTGCAGTAGTATGGCAGTCAGGGGGTTGTCACAGTGAGTTAATGCAGGGAAGTGTGATTTATTTAATGTTTCGTGCACCTCTCCCTGGCAGACATGGCACACGTGGAAGATATGCTTTGGAGTGGGTGAATCTGGAGGAGTCTGAATGCTCCTGTGAAAGGAACCACAAGGTATGCTGAGATCATGGGATTAATGTGAATGGCAAGTAAACAAAACTTTGAAATCACAGCCTCGTACTTTCCATGAAATTGTTCATTAGAGGAGTTCTTTATCATTAAAAATGTTTTAAAAAAAACTAAATTTACAAAATAAAAAAATACTGCTTTTCCAGCAATATGTGAAATCTACAATTTGGAAGCAGTGTGAACAGAAGCCATCCAAATCAACCTAAGCTGCAGTACCAAGAGCCTGGGTATACTACGGAAGATTTTCTTAGCAGGTAGTGTTTGGAAGAAAAATAAAATGCTAGAGCAAGCTTTCCCATTAGGGAAGAAGTCTTTCTCAGAGTCAGAAGGGAGCCAATATCCTACTGTGATCCCCTGTTATAGATGCAAAGTTATACTGAGTATAAAAAGTCCTCTGTTCATTTTGCACATTTAGGGCTGTTACACCTGATACTTTCAGCCAAAGCAGCCTGAACAAATGCTAAGTATTTGTATGCATTTCCCTTTAGTGCTAGGGGAAGGTGAGGGATTTTTTTTGTTTTTGCTCCCTGTCTGTACCACTAAGATGACTGGAGACTGTTCCACAGCATTTGTGCTCTTTTTTAAGGATGGATGAAGAAATTCCTATAGGTGGAATTTTTTAATGCCCAAAACTGTTACCCATGTTGGCTGATGCAGTTGCTATGTGTCCCTTTATTGAGCCACACTGCAGTAAACGTTCGTGCTCTGGTTTGCACTGCTCAATGTAGAGTGCAGTTCTGCAGGGAGACCATGTTCTTTATGGGAAAGTTATTTTCTGGTAAATCCATGCAGTACTTAGCACCTTCATTTCTTTCTTTCCTAAGGGAAATTCCTTTCCCTCATGATAGGTCACAGCCCTGCCACATTCCCAAAGACTTTGAGCAGCTGGTCCCAAGTCACGAAGTAGAAAATACATAGCATGCCTGGGGAAGCTTGACTAAGAAGTGGGAGGAAGAGAAGGAGAAAATAAAAAATGGAGAATCACAATTTAACTTTAGCTCTGGAAGCAATTTAGAACATAGAGGTACTTGTTAGCAAGGGGTGGCTCTTAGCCTGCCGTTCAGTACTCAGGATTCGGTGAAGCCTTTGGTCCTTTCAGGTCAAGAAGAGTTTTGCTGCTAATCTAAACAAAGCCAGGATTTCACCCTGGAAATTTTGAATGCAATTCTCTGCTCTTCCATGCATCTGCTGCTGCAAGGCTCAGTATAAGGTAAGGAATATTTGTTTCTGTGCTTCATCTCTGCCACTCCAAACCTCATGATAATTCTATCGTCTCATAATAATGTTGCTTGACATAGCATTGTTCCTTACCAGGAAATCCCCATTTCTCGTATGGTGGCCCTTGACTCAGGCAGCTGAAGTCGGTTAAAGAAGGACAGAAGTGGGTCACAGAGCGAATGAGGGACGTGAATGAGAGTCCATGGCTTAGGGTCACAGCAGCCAGCTGAGTGATGGTGATGGGTGCTTGGCTGAATATTCAGTTTCACGAAATGCTCTCAGGGAAGTGCTGGCAGAGAGTAACTGGTCATTAATAATGACTGTTAAATGGAGATCTTTCATTTCTCTGGATCTCAGTTTGGAAAAAATGGGGAGAAGAGTTTTTACAAAGTATTTCCTTTTCTGTCAGTCTCAGACGACATGTTCTGTACACCCTCTTCCTGAACTGAGCTGTTGCTCAGACATTTTGAGACTTTCCAAAATGCTCATCTGAGAACTTCTGACTGAAATGGCTGTAAACATCACAATCCTTAGGCTATTAGATAGTCCCTTGTCCATTGTACGAATGGGGGATCTGCGAGATGACAGAGATTGATTGTGGTGAATGTCATGTACGAGGAACCCCACTTTCTTGTGCAGTTGGGGAGATGGGAGTGCTATGGGTTTCTGGAAAGGACACTAATCAGTGGGGCTTAGTGCCATTAACCCCTTGT